ACAGATGCAGGTCAGAATTTGAAGAATATCTGGCAACCGACAGGCCAATGTCCATTTCAGTAGGAAGTGTAAATTACATATATTCATATTTTAAAACTGTTCACCTTCATGAAATGCAAAGAATGTGTTTCCAATATGTAACATTGGTTAACAAATCTAAAATAAATCATATAGCCTTTGTCTTTTCTTTCAATGATTTCACATGCTAGATCTATGGCAATGAAACTACCAATGTTGTCTGTGCACACGGAATGATATGCTGGTTACCCTTAAAATTTTAAATTAACATTGTTTCACATAGTGAATAAATAAATAAAAGTCAACTTGGATCTTAACTGAAAACTTAAAGAAACTGAAAATATATTTTTTCAAAGTTAAAGTAATCTTTGAACTTAAACCTGCATTACTGTTGCTGGAGTGATTTCTCTGGTGTTCATGACTTTGACTGCTTTCGGTATCCTTGAACTGTTGAACTGTTTTTGCATACACATAGGTTTCATTGCTGCCGAGCATGGCTTATGTGATCTAACAAAAGGCACTCTGTATAATGAGAGCCCATGTATGACAACCTGACATATACAATAAATATGAATTTCACTGCAGCAGCACTCTGAAATTATAGATTTTATTTAAAGGTCTTTTCCAGCTCTTTGCCTGGTTCTTGGTAAAACACACAGGAAATAAACACACAGACATGTCTGGCACCGAGCTCCACTCCAGGTCCGTCTCCCTCACATCTGGGTGAGACCAGATTGTTCATTTACAGCAGCCAGATGTGTTGAGATAAAGGCAACACTCACCTGGGGCAACCTGACAGGAGGATGGCCTTTATGCCATTTAAATAAAGGCTGTTGCCATTGCTGTTGCTTTGCTTCCTACAGCATGAAGGCTAAATGCTCATGAACTAGTCTGTTTTTTGTTTCTTCTTTAATCAGGCAGCACTGGCCTTCTGTGGGGTATTGCATATGAGTAAAATGTTAGGTAACACATAAAAAGGAAATATACAAAAAGGTTTGCTACTACAAGTGCTTCTCCATCCTTTATTTATAAAGTGGCATGAAAATAAGGACTTTCATCTGAATATAATATTATGAGGTGGTCAATGGTTCTCATATGTTTCACTGTCTAAATAACTATTTTTCAATAGGTTTACAGGAAAGGGTAAGAAAATGTATATATAGGTAAGTGTGATTCATACCTTAAGAACATGTGAACTTAAGTAATATATTTAGCCAATACTTACATCTCTAGTTTTGGTGATTGTTTTGACTTTCTTCATTGCTGGGACCCAGACCTCTGGTACACTTAATATGCTTTACTTCTTAAACTTCCAAAATAAATAGGTGTTTATGACGAATAGAGATATTTTTCTGTGATTTTAACATGTGAATGAAATTTTAAAATTCATCCTTTAAATATTTATTTCTAAAAACATGATAAACACAGAAGCAATTCTTTATTTACCACTGTAATGGCTGCATTATTCACCTTACATTTGTGGTACACAAGGGTACTTTAAGTGGATAAATAGTGACACAGATGAGAAAACACTATATACAGTACACTCCTGTTTAAATTAGGGACAATCTGTGGATTGAATATGTGTAAGTATACTGTAGATGCATGCAGCAGTTTTTGCTGTTTTGTCTATTTAAACTATTATACAGTTGAAATACCAAATCTATATTTTGTGTATTTTATTTATGTAGTTTTACAGATCAAACCGTTAATATACATGTAAAAGTCTAAAGGATGCTTTTTTCCCTCAGTTTAAGTTACAAGGGCCTGTCTAAAACCCATCAGCTGAGGGCCATTATGTCTTTGATTGATGCAATCTATTCAGATTGTAAATGGTGCCTTCACACCTCCTTCACTGCTTTTAATTCCAAATGGCTATTTCATTTTTGAAATCCTTTCGCTGCCACTTGGAAGTTGAAATGTAAAAAATGATGCTAGGTGCCAGTTTTTTGAATTATAGTGTGACTGCAGAGCAAAACCCAAAGAGCAAGTGCCTTTTCACACTGCATAAAAGGCTGAAATGTTTACATATCAAAAGGCTATAGGCCAATTTCTGTCAAAATTATACATGAAGTTAAGCAGTACAAGCAATTTATTTAAACACTAGTCATTGTAGAAAAATTCAAGACCATATGCTCTCTTTGCATTTTTTTCACAAATGCTTTTGACCCATAACTTGGCAAGACATGCAAACTACACAATTTACTCTTTAAATTTCAAATCCTCTTGACACTGAAATAAAAGGTCTTCATTAATAAGCCTTTATGTGAATCGAAACATAAGCTATAATTGTTGACGAACGAGAATGTCATTTCTGTGACGTTATATATTTTTGAAAAAGAAAGCAGAAAAATTACCCAAAAATCAAAATTCAGACACTCCCGTTAAGTCAATGGTTTTAATGAAATCTATAGAACTACGCATCTACAGTCCGTGAATTGTAATCTTAATAAAACAGAACAAATAATATGTATAAATATTTAATAATTATTTAGGCTAAATAATAATAACATTTAAATATTTAAACACGGTGGTGTTGCCCTTAAACATTAGCAAATCACAATGTAAAACCATAGATAATTAAGTACTTTTCATTTATGAGTGTGTTCACTAATAGATGCTAGCAGTGCCTGCGGTACAGAGGTATTTTGAGTACGGCAGAAATATTCTTGACTTACTGTGTATTCGGAAACACAATACGTTATAGTTGTCTGGAGGTTTAAACAAAAATAAATTACTAATACTTCTACCTGTGCTGCTACATTATACTAGCACTACGACTGTAAAACAGAGTTCGAAGCTACTGCATTTAATAACCAATGCCACCAAACCGGTTATTCTAAGTTAAACTATATTGAACTGTGCTATAATGAGTAGAAATAAAATTACAACTGACCTCTAAAATAAGGATCAATAATAAACATTTTTTTTGTAAATAAAATTTACGTACGGAAAGTTTTATTGCTGTCAGAAACATACCACGTGTCTAGATATGCGCAGACACGCACGCTGACAAAATCGGCCCTCTCAGAGAAATAATAATTTCAAGGGTAAAGTGACACCTCTACGTTTGTGTCACATCGGGACGGTGGGGTTAACCTTATACGCTAATATTTTAATGCAATCGCAAGTGTGTAACTTATATAGAGCAATCTGAATATTAATTACAATTATTTCAACACATTGACAAAGTTCTAACGTGGATTATTCCCTTAAATGCCCCATCTGTTAAGGCACGTTACAGTAAATAATATACACAGAATGTCCAGACACTCTTTCCTATTAGTTTTAACGTCTTGTAAAATCAGGTTTCATCTGTTGTTTCATACTGTGATCGCCTGTGCAAAGAATAACTGTCCAGGGGTCTTGAAATTTGTCTGTGCAGTGCTTGTAATAAAATGTATTTTCATTGTAGATGTCTCAATTTACCCCTGTGTTATGTAAGGCTCTTTAAATATCTGCTTTGTTCAATTTGTACGCTAGAAATAATTGCAGACAGCAGTTTGAGAAAGACACGGCATCGGCGTGAGTGGTCACACCCTACAGCAGGTTTCTAAAAAGAGGCACCTTTGTACTACATTAAGAATGAGTTAACACCTAGAGTTAAAGCCTACACATCTGCATCCCTATTAATCATTTCTTTGGGGGTTTTCTTCTATCACTGAATGAAAAGGAAGACAAACGTTCAATGCTCGCCACGCAGCTGCTTTTGGTGAAAAGAAAATAAACTCGATAACCAAAACTGACTAGACCAAAGCAAAGCCTCTCAATACACATTTTAACGTTTTCTGTTGAGCCAATTTAAATGGAAAATTAACGTTATTGAGTCACATTCTAACATCTCGCACACAATAAAATTTCCAATTGATCACTCTGTGAAACTGTAGTATTTAGCAACTTTAAGAAATAGAACACTAATGGCTGTTATCTTATCTGACCAAGAATAATTTGTTCCTTGAACACAAACGTTAATGTGGGTGTTTATATTTAATACGTACAATTTCCTACCTACTGTGACGGCGTAGCTGATTGTGTAAATGCACTAATCTCTTCATGTTCGCCTCCTGTGGATAGTATGTGACAGTCGTGTCAGACCGACAGTTACGCAAATATCAAGTTAACCTAGCAATTTAAGATTTTATAGCACAAAACCTAGGTTTATCTATTAGTCTTAAAAATACATAAGTAACGTTTTAAGGTTTTGGTGAATAAAAATAATCTTAAATGTATTTATAAAGAAACATCTTATTACAATTCTCAATTGTAATAACTTATTATACTTTATATAATTTAAGAAAACCAGTTTTCCTGCGGAATTGGAGATTAAACTATACAATGTGGTCTATTTAACAGGACAGACATAAAATGCTAAATGTTTCACATCTAATTTCCTTAATTCACAATTTAATTCCTGTGACCTAGTGTAATCCTACTTTTTCAGTTACTGGAAGTAAGTTAAAAGTATAAAAATTTACAATGCATCTGCATGAACGCTGTTCGGTTGATTTTATTGCGTCTTTCACGATTTGATAGCCCTTAGTTACGAGTATTTAACGACTAACACTGAAAATGGAACTACTACGTGCTACAGTAAGTGCAGTATTACAGTATATTTAGTATTGTATGCAAACTCTTAAACCTGTAAAACAATCTGTCTAAAAGTGAATAATGCATATTAAATAATACTGGGTATGATGCTGAGAATGCTTGTTGGTGCCTCTAGCTTGAGAAAGGGAGGAAAAAAAGTCTAGAGTCGTGAAAAGAAACAACCCCCCAATGGAGAAATAACATCTGCATTAATGTTTTAATAGAGAGCCCGGCTGTAAATCCTGCCTATGGACAACGGCATTAATCAGATTAACCTGTACAATTAGCTTCTGCAGCAGGCGTCCGATTGAGAGGAGTGATTTGTTTCCAAAGTCTCTGCTAATTGTAAGGATTATCTTAATTTCATTAATTCTCAATACACAGATCAGTTCTTTTCACACCATTGTATGCGCTAACCCCCAGAAAGAGCCAATCTGGTTTTGGTTGTCATCTGCATTTTTAGCGGAGGGCTAAATCCTCGATGACGTCAGTCGACTATAAAACAGGGGAGAAGTTCAGATGGACCACAAAAACAAGTTACTGGAGCAATTGATCGTGCTGGAGTCTGAGCTGAAAAAAAAAGTTCAATAAATATACGGCTATGGTGAAGACTTCCGACTTCTAAGCGGACTTGATATATTTTGAGAAGAAAAACAATTGAAGAAGTTATTCTTTTTCTTTTCGATTTTTTGCTCCTGTGATGCCTGCTGGCATGTTCAGCATCGACAGTATTTTGGCTGGCAGACCCAGCTGTAAGGAATCCGTTTTGCTACATCGGAATGCTCCGGTTGTGTTTTCTAATTTGACTGACTCTCTCTATACAGCTGCAGAATACAATGGGCTCTACTCGCACTCAACGGGACCCCCCGCCTCAAACCTCCAAGCAGTAAATGGATCTAGACTCGGATATAACAACTATTATTATGGACAGCTTCATGTACAGGGGCCAACTGGACCAGCGTGCTGCGGCGCAATACCGGCTCTGGGTGCACAGCAGTGCCCCTGTATTCCTGCAGGTAATGCCTCTACAGTTCTTTCATGCCTAGAAACTAAGCCTAAATAAAATATACTCTGTATCTGTTTCACCTTGTATCTTTAACGCCTGCTTGTTTATTTCTTAATAGAAGATGATAACACAGACGTCAGCCAAATAAAAAAACAGCCGAATGTATTTAGGCCTGAAGATAATCCAAGTTTTGTACGTTGTTTTGTTACTCGGACGGAAGGGTGGCAGAAGAATGAGCAATATTTTTTTATTTCAGTATCTTAAATTATATTTGCAAAAGAGCCGATGTGTGTACAATACACGCTTAACCCCAAATAACAAGTTATTCGCAGGCATAAATGTGTATGTGGATGGATAGTTTGCGCACCCTGGAACGTGTGAATGCTGCTTTCAGTTATTAGATTGGTGATATCATTTTGCAGGCTACGAAGGCGCCGGATCTATACTGCTGTCCCCCGTCCCTCACCAGATGATGCCTTATATGAATGTAGGTACCTTGTCCAGGACAGAGCTTCAGTTGCTCAATCAGTTGCACTGCAGGCGTAAGAGGAGACACCGGACCATCTTCACTGACGAGCAGCTGGAGGCCCTGGAGAGTCTCTTCCAGGAGACCAAGTACCCGGACGTGGGCACGAGGGAGCAGCTGGCGCGCAGAGTGCACCTCCGGGAGGAGAAGGTTGAGGTGAATACATGTTTTAATACTTTTATACATTAGATTACATTATTCTGTGCTAATTAGATTCTGTTATTACTCAATCATGATTGTTACAATAACATCTTTAATCAGTTTTATACATATTTAGTGGTTTTCTGTAGAGCGCTCATTCCGCAAGTCTTATTAATATATTTCAGTATTTTATACAGGTTTTTACTTTAGAAACATAAACCTATCCAACTGTTGTAAACTTACGCGTACAATATACTGCATTTTTACGCAGTCGTCAAGTGCAGAAATTCGAAGAAAACATGTTGCTCCCAAGCAACTCAACCACTACTCCTGTAATGTAAGAATTTGTTTCGTATTTATTCATTTATTTCAATTGTAGGTGTGGTTCAAAAACCGAAGAGCAAAGTGGAGAAGACAAAAAAGGTCCTCTTCCGAGGAGTCGGAAAATTCACAGAAATGGAACAAACCTTCCAAAACTTCGACGGAAAAAATGGAAGAAGGGAAGAGCGACGTGGACTCGGACAGCTGATATCGTCCCCTCAGCAGAATATCGGAATTTCGGCAGACCAGGGCACGTGGAGGCGTCAATGTTGCACACACTCGCGTTGTTTTAGACAAACTGTAAATAGTGTACATACTGTGTGGATTCGCAAGTAATAAAACGTGTTGCGATGATGTTGCACAAGCACATAGTTACTTCTATTATTTGTTATTTATATTTAATTTAAATTTATTGTAACGTACTCGACAATAAGTGAAAAATTGTAAACAAGTCTAAAGCTTTATTTTTCAAGTGTGTCTTTATATTTTTTTTCCAAGTGTGAAGTCTTTGGACTGAAAAATGTGGTATTTCGTAAAACACGTTTTAGCATCATACTATTGTGTAAAAGCTCATTATTCCTGCCGACTCGTTCAAGTGCAAAAAACATGAAATCTATCAAACTAATTCGGGCATAAACTTTAAGATATAAGGCATCTTATTAAAAATAAATATATTTTTCCAAGTTAATAGATATAATGCATACGTTGTTTTAATATTGGGTTGTTCATTATTTCATTTTACGTCTATTTAATTGTAGAAGAGACTTGATGCCTGAGACTTCAAAATACTAGGTCGGAATGAAATAGTTTAAGTTTCTTTTTTTACTGAATCGTCTTTACGCAGTTACTAGTTGAATAAAAACGTTTCAAACATGACGATACGAAAAATTATATATCAAGCAAAATTTGAAAAAAAAAGTATAATTAACCCAATCATGGAAAATAATATATATAAGATGTTTTACATTTAACCTAAATTAAAATGCTGTAGGATTTCTATTTGTTTAGAATAGTGATGCTACACAAGTTTTCAAAAGTATTGGATTTAAACATTTTGTAATATACACCAACTAACGGAACTATAATTTATTTGTTCGTACGTTTAATAATAGGCTAATAATTAAAACTACACATAGGAGGCGTTGATAGGCATTAAACTGTCACTTTCAGTAAGCATTAATGGAAATCCGTCAAACTGGAAGTATAACAATCACTGTATTTCAGAGAATGAGGTGTTTGAGGAAGGATATAGTTGACTGAATTACAGGAAACAAATACTTAACAGATACCTGTGTGATTACATATTTAATTTCTGAACAATTCTAATAAAACTATTAGCCCTTATTAAAATTAACAGAAATTAGTAGAAGTTTAAAAAACCTGAAATATATAAAGTCCGGTTATATTTCAGTTATTCGTTAATTTTTCGTAAATTATTACTACTTTCTTTATACTGTATACTGTAGTTTTTGAAAATATTTTAAGAACTTTTTAATACTTCGGTATTCGAATTTCTTTTCATTAAAATTGACCAACTTTTTATTAATATATATTCAAATGGTTAATGTGATTATTTTCTTCAAAATCCTCCGAGATTTTATCGGATATGTGAAAGTGTTGTTTATTGTAATCGTAATTTTTTTTTCCTCATTGCATTTTGATTGCATTAGTTTAGTATTGGCATTTTCTGCGACTTCTTGCTATACCTTAACTCCAGAAAGGAACAGGTGACGCTAGGATTCAACACCACTCCCCGCGTTTATAAAAGTGACAATTTACTTTTATGTGATGCTAGGTAAATGGTAAATGTACTTTTCATTACGGCTAAGCTTGAGGATGTCTTTAACTAAGGCGACCGGGTTTATCGACTCGCACAACATCAACATAGGAGCCGATAAACATTTTTAAGGAGTGTATATATATATATTATGCCAGTGAAGATGGTGATAAAACATTTAGGTCAACGCATAGTAGATACTGATATTGATTTTTAGATCTCTAATGCACCCCAGCTCTGTTTCCGAATCCTTGACGCGGCTGCTCCCTCTGCTTGCCCGTATGTTGCAGTCCAAGCAGGGAAGAAACATCCTTCCAGGTTTTGTATACCTTTTTATGTTAAACAACAGTGTGAACGTAAGTGTTCACATCTTTGACCAGAGCTCTTTAAATCTCTTTAAAACAGGAAACGTGAATGCTGTAAGAGTCTGGTTTGGGATCTGTGGTAAAAACCACCGCAACAAGAACACGCATTTCTTGTGGAAAGGTAGTGTAGAAGAGGCACATCCACAATCACTGCAAACCCCGAGTTCGCAGGAGAGATCGCTTTCAACTGCTCTCTTTTGCATTAGCAATCGTAAACGGACATTCGTGCAAACAGCTACAAAAAGCTCCCACAAAATTTAGCAGTTAAATAATAACTGAACAAATAAATGAGCTGTCTCTCGACAAGCTACAGTTTCTTTTTCTCTAAAACCTCACAGCATTCCTTAGTCAAAATTTGTTTTAATGTATATTTTTACTTCGGGTTTAGTAATAAAAACAAGAGTGAGAAACGTAACGCTTTAAACTCAGAAATAGTTTCTCCAGGTTTTCCAGATCGGCTGTCCTACACATGGATGTTCCTTGCTATAATCTTATATTACATTTCACATCTACAAGGACATAAAACTGCGTTACATAAACGGAAATCGACAAGATCGCACAGCAACGTATATAGGTGGTGAAAAATTGGTTATGTTTTTTTTTTTAAATATCAAATGTGAACAAAACTCTAATTTGTAACCTATAAAACTTTCACCATCTCCTCTGTCTGGCTGTCCCAGTCTGTCAGATCTTGATGTAACCCAGTGAATAATCCACATCAGATTCAGTACAGCAAAATAAACGCTGAGGAGCAGGCTGAGCTTCAATAAAGATTTTACTACTTAGTGTTAATTACATCTTTAAAGACCGAAGCTTTGGGGTGGTAAGACATTTTCTGTTTTGGAGTTGCCTTGCACATTTGTGTCCTAAAACAGATTTAGATTATGTAGAACAGTCAATAAGCTTTGTAATCAGGAAAGGTTGCAGTATTAACAATTACAGACATGTACATCTCAATTGACAAATTATCTTTACATACTAGATGTGATTGTAAGATATTTTATTTTTATTTTGTTTTCATCAGTTTAAAATGCTATGTCCTCAACCAGTTTCTGACTGTTGGAATTGGAATGACACCACTTCCTAGCTTCAAACACGTGTAGCTGTCAGCTGAAACAAAGGACCAGGCCTGAGGCCCCAGCTGACAGATAATTTGACTGCAACAAGTGCCTTCTGACCAGAAAACTAGCAAAGTGAAAGGGAGCCGAGCTGCTGACTGACTCATGCCTGTGCCTCCTAGGGAAAGGCCGATTTCTGCTACATGCTGTCATAGTTATAGATTGGCATATTAAATTCGCTCATGATTGCAATTCAGCAACCGTGTAATAGTCTCTGACAAAAAATTAAGCCAAATCTTAATTTCTGTCTCTACGCAAGACTACACATGCATCATCTTACACAGGGATTGCTGAGATGCCTGGTGAAGTTAATTTATCTCATATTCACCAGTGAATGACACAGAACACAAAAAATAAAGAGGATGTTATGTAGTGGTAAATTGTAGTGCATCTTTGACAAAAAGGTCTTTGAATTAAGGATGTTAACATGGAAACAATCACTGATAACATCCATGTGAAATACATCATTTGATCTTTTATAACTTATTTTAAAATATTTTTACCTGTATTTGCTACTTTTGTTGAGAGAACCATTCCAAACATTTATTGAAATTGCCTTTAACAAAGCAATTCCAGTTTCCTTATTAACCACCCCCTCCATCATATTTGCATGGACTTTTACACATGTTCTTTTTCTTGTAACACCTGGATTTCTGTAGAGCTGAGCCACTTCAGCACTACACAGGCCAAACCAGCCTTCACGTTTGAGCTCTGAAGAGATCAGGCCTAAATGATTTATGACTACAGACTATAAAGAGAAAATGTTAAAGTGCATTTTGTTTATTTATAATAAGAGCAAAGGACTATCTAGGTACTGAAAATTTAATGATCCTTTATTTCTGGTGTGCATTTAAAACACAGTTAGAAATATACAGATCATGTATACATTTATGCACAGCATGAAAATCTGCAAATATAAGGGTAAATATTTCACTTTGGAAGTGATTCGTGTTGCTGAAAATTTATCTGACTGAAAAAAGTCAAAGATATTTTAGTTTCTTTCATTGCATGAGAAACTACTAGTTTCTATATGGTTAATTAGGGGGGCCTGCTCTGCTCTGTGCACATTAAACCAGATTTAGCGTGCAAGTGTAGCTTTTTGCCATATCACCCCCCATTTACTGGAAAGAAAGCATTTTTTAACCTTGAGTAAAAACAAAACAAGTTTGTGTCATTTTATACACAGTAGAAGGCACAAAACAAATTAAATAAATACTTGAGTTTTATATCTGAGTAAATTATACAGATTCTTGTTGAACTACTGAAAGCAAAAAACAAACAAACTATTAAGTGCTTCTATTCTAGTTAGCAGCTGTTTGCATTGCATATAACATTTAAATTAATTTGTCAATGAAACTGTAGAAAACACATTTTTCCAGAAGCTACTTTTCATGCTGAGTTGAATATGTATGATAAACTGTCCTGTATTACAGTTTTAGAATTCTATATTAGCTTATAATAACAAAAATGAATATTTTTTTCCTAGATACCTCTGGATTTGAAGCAATAGTTCAGCCAGTGAGGCCGTTTAGGACTTTCCAAAGCCTTTAATATTTCTTTCATCATTCACAGTAAATATCTGTTAGTGTGTAAATATGAAAGCATGTCACTCCTAAAAAAATCAGGCTACTGGAATACCAATTTCAATTTTGCATTGAAGAAATACATTTCTTTTTCAGAATAATTTATTTTCACTTTATTATATTCCATAAATACTTCTATAGTACCATCTTGTTAACTGCTGTATAATTATGTAAAGCACAAACGCTGTTTACACCTCTGTGACGGTGCTGTGGCAGATAAAGATTGACCATATACATTATTTAAAGTGAGAGAAATAATGTAAGAGATGTGTTTCTTATTAAGCCCTTACAGAATCAGATTCTACTACTAGTATTACTAGTGCTAATACTACCAAAGCTACTGATATCACACCTTTAATAGACACTAATGCAAACAATAGGAATAATACCAATTTACAAAATATTTTAACATTTCATATTAATGTTTTTTATAAATAATTAATCTATGAAATTATACTACTATTTTAAAATATTATTGTTTTTGCCTTTCTTAATTATTGGCTATAGTATGAGGACTGACGGTATGTGCTATTTGCATGTTTATGAAATTATTTTATTTCTTCTAAGACTGATTTGAAAAGATAAACCATAGAACAGTTTGAACAAAACACATTCTATGAAAATGGAATTCTAAATGCTACATTTAATTATTGTGAATACAGACATTTGGACAGAGAAAAAATGTAATGTATTCAGTAATGTCTGTGGTAACTTTTCCTGGATTTCCTTGGCATATCATGGTGAGTTGGACATTCCTAAAATACTAAATACTGCAAAAATAATAACACAAAGCCTACTAAAGTGGCTCTTTAAAGGAGATTAGAAAAGGGCACTGCAGGTACTTCAGAGTTGGCAAGGATACAAACCATGAAACACAACACGCTTCGCTAATAATCCCTTATATGTCTAGCTATGATTTATATAGTGTTTCAATACTGAAGGCTGGTGTGATATACAGAATGCAGAGCCAATGCAATTAATCTTTTCTTAATTTTTTTGCATGAGCTGTATGTTTGTATTTCATGAATTTAATGCAAGATCTATATATATATATTACCATTTTTCCTTTGACCTTTTTGATGCATACTTCCCAGCTCTTGCAAAAACATAGGTGGAGTCCAAGAAAAATTAGGTAATGAGTTAACTCCAAGAGTAGATAAATCTTTTCTTCTTGTAGCATTTCAAGATCATTATTTTTTAAATGTCATTGTGTATGTAATTGGAGGTGTTTGCTGGCTGCTCCTTGTGCATCTTGTTCTTACATAAGCTGACTCACTGCAAAATGATTCATTTGTTTTTTTTTTTACAGCTTTTTTCTGCATCTGTACTCTGGACCTCTAAATTAATTTCATTAGTGAATAGGGTCTGGGTGCTTTACTTCTTCTTGATTTGGCAAAGGGTGTGACAGCAGTTGGGTGTATTCCCACTTCTAAAGATAGACGTGGGTGTTGGCTCCTCTGTGGTCCAGTTAGAAACTTTGAAAATGGCTCCTTCACACAAGAAGGAAATCAGGAAGAAAGTAAGACAAATAATGCATATTTTTACAGATGTAAACTTCCTCCTATATTATTACCATATTTCACTGGGATGGTATGTGGTTTTGTGTTTGTTTTCTTTTGTTCCAGACTGTCTCCCTTCTGGAGCAGATTCCTTTAAAACCCCAATTTGTAGCCACATTAAGAAGGGTGTATTTCTCCATCACTACTAAAGAGGGATAAATAAACAGAGAAGTGCTAAGACACTTTTTTTAGTAGAATTCAGGTCTTATTCATCAATATTATACCAGTGCTCCTTCAGGTCTCACCACGAGAATGGTGCACATGCACTGTTTACAATTATCCATCATGTCAACTAAGAGTCTTGCAACACTACTTCCTTTATATCAGAGAAGTAGAAAACAGATTATGAGCTGAAAACATTCTTTGTTTGGGAACTAAAAACATTAGCCCATAAGTATTTGGTGAAGTAAAAAGCTCTGAAATGTTTATATTATAATGAACGACGAAGTCTAAACATAGTTTATTATAAAGCCTGCACGATTGCTCGATGCTGTTGTTATGAAGTCGTCTTAGTCCTGGCACCTAGTTCCCAGGCTTGGTGGCCTACTGTCATGGTGCAGAATGACAGAAAGTGCTCCACCTTCAGGATCAGGAAGAACGTTTGTTCTGTTAAACCTTCATAACATAAACTCCTGGGATGTGTTGTAGGTATGACTGACCATGTCTGAAAATCTGCAATGGTCTCACTCTTAAACACGAAGACACAAAGATATCAGTGAAGCATGTAATAAAGTCAAAGGTATTGAAACTTGTGCATGATGCTTACTATTGACTCACAAAGAAATCTAATGTTTAACTATTAGGTAGCGTTTGGATTAATAAATAATAGTTTTGTACATATGGATGATAATAATAGATAATTTTCCAATCTTAAATTCCCTATGCTTAAAAATACTAAAAACTGGCAAGTTGTTTTAAAGCACTATAAACATCATATCTGTTTTCACTCTGGGTAATTCATCACTTGAGACAGTGAACAGTATTTATTTTATAGTCCGTACTAAAATGAATCATTATATTTAGAAATAAAGAAAGAACTATAAACCCAAAAGAAAGTTCCTGCAATCTATGTATTGATTACCGCGTACTACATGAGTGATTACAGATCATGGTTACACCAGAGCTAAAACAGTTTTGGATATGTACTGTGTGTGATAATAAATTACAAAATCACTGTACAATTCATATATTTCAGGGTAGTAATGAGGTTTAAATAAATAAAAAAATAGGAAAAATAAAAAGAAATCCTGACTGAACACTGAAACAATTTTTAAAACAGTAAAAAATAAGGAAGAATTTAGCTTTTCTTTTTCCTACGTAAAAAAGCTTTTCTGCAAAGATTGAACAGGTTTTAAAAATATCGCCTCTCTTCATAAAAGCAATTGAACAACTGATAAATAAAAATATTATTTTATTCTTTAAGTTATGAATTTTAAGGTCTATCACAATAAATTAAAATTCACATTTCAAGTTTTATTGCTAATAAACTGCCTATTACAATTTCTTTGATGCTATCCTATGACCAAAAATGCTGAAGTAGAATAAAAGTTCAGAGCTCTTGATATTTAGAATGATGTTTCCTGCAATCATAATGCCCCTGCATAATTTAGCTCTCCAGAATTGTTTGGTTATTAAAATCAAGGAACTGATTTTTCCTTAAATATGGGTATCATATTGGTCTATGCAGCTATATTATTTTTAAGGAAAAATGTAGGCCCATACAATTCAGAGTAACTGCATTTAATTCATTGTGTCCAAGGACGAAAGTAAACCAAATAACTAAAGCTATCATTATTTGTTTAGTAAACTCCCTTATCCAGGGCAATGTTAAAATCCCCTAGAACCACAAAAAGTAATGCTTGTTATTCTATAGGCCTATAAGCCCTGACTTTCAATAGTCTTTCTTCTCCTCAGATATTGATATTATGACAACCTCAGATACAGCTGTGTCTTGTTATTTAGTGCATAAAGAGAGGAGATTAAAACTGTTTGCAAGTATAGTATGTATTACATTTGATTTCCTCTCTCTGAGTTATAGTAGGGACCACGAAACTAACCCTTTATAAATACAATAAGTCATGGAAAAGCATTGGAAAAGGACTAACAAATGCCTTTTGGCTGTGTCAAATCTGACATGGTTCACCTTACTCAGCGTGTTCCACAGGGCTCTGTGTGAGGACCTTTACTATTGAATATTTATAGGTTGCATCACTCAGCATCATGGCCTTATGTTCACTGCTACACTCATGTGACTCATGCGACATGTAGCTCTCCCTGCCCTGCAAGGATTCGATCGCGCTCACTCTCAGGCTCTCAGCATGCACAGGGCTGCTCCCTAGACAGACCACTTGCTCTGTCTTTCGCAATAATCTAGTTCTACTTCTATTTCCATTAACGGGTCTCAACATTGCACGTCACTCCCTATTCTGATGATATATTGCTATATTTAGATAGTCTCCCAGCCTCTGCCTCAGCTATATAGATTTTTGATCAATTCAGCATGTAAAAGCCAGGGCATAAAATTAGTTGGTTCAAATCTTCATTACTACAGTTAATGAAGAAAGTCAGGCCACCTCTGGCATTGAGATAATGGTCTTGAGATTGAGATCTGTTCTCCTGTACATTGGCATCAAATTAGACTCTTTAAAAACATTTTAAAAAGGCATATTCTGTCTTGAACAAAGAATGTAATTTTTCCAATTCTTTTTTAGCTCATGTTTCATTATTTAAATTAAATTAAAAAAGGTCTTTCCTACCTTATGTTTTTCAGATATATGATTCCTCTTTCTGTTCCTTTAGGGTATGGGGATAAATTGCATAACAGAATTTCTGAATTCACATGTAAAACTAAGGGACCTAATAATACATTCTTCTACATGAAATATCTGCATCAGACCTAACTCTGTAAAACTTTAAATTTTATTTCTACTGCTGCTTACAGTTGATTTACTGTAATTCTGACAATCCTATATCTTGACATACACTTGAAGAAGGTCTGGTCTTTCTGTATATGTTCCAGAACTCAGTTAATACTAATGCTCCCCTTAGTCTGCATTATGGTTAAAAAATTACTTAATTAGAACTTGGCTTTTATCAGAAAGATTAATTTCCATTCTCCTATGCTTTATAATCATAAGCTACTTACAGGTTATTCCTGTTTCTTTTCCACAATTAAAAGAAAATAAGGAAATATCCATTCTTGTAAAATTTTGAATGAGAATAATCTTTGCCTGTTACAATTTTACAAGACAAGACAAGCTTCCTTGCTACTCTTTCTTTTTACTTATGTGTCTGTTCTGCAACATGTCTGTCTGTTAAGGAGCAAAGCTAGGCAATAAGGCTTTCTCTACTAATAATTTTCTTTTAGAAGACCATGCAAACCTTTAATAATTCGTACTATAATTAGATTAAAAATATTAATGTTACAGGTGAACAACTTTCCTTGGACAATATTGGAAGCAATATAAAGTCAGTTTCTCAAAATCCCAATAATCAACTGATTCACTTTATCTTTACAGAATGTAGTAACTATATTCTTGTTTGAGTGTCAGGTTAATTTTTACCCAATTTCTTCACCCCATTTTCAAGCATCCAGTTCCTATAATGCCAGTTTATTAAAATTATTGTGAGGAAAAGAAGACTGAAAGCAGATGAGTTTCATCCAATTGCATTGTCCAGCCAGCTTTACTTATTCCCTGGCAAACCCAACGGGTGGATGTCTTGAGGGACTGAGTTCTGAATCAGAAACCCAGTCCCTGACCGAGATGAAAATAATATGTTAACATAAACACCTTTTTACTTCTGAACATCTTTTTCAGATGTAAGTCTTTACAACTCAGTTTTCCATTATTATATTTCAGTAGTTTAGTAAAATTCTAATCATGATGAAACCAACAAATATAAAAGATTAAAATACTTAATACTTTGGAGATAATTTGCTGGCTGATGAAAGGTCAGTGATGGACAGAGATCAATGCTGTTACATTCCCCCCCCAAATGATACACAAGACACCAGCCCAGATTTCAAACACCGAGCTAAGAGCAAGTTGGCTTGGCTGCAGTTTTGGAGGACAGAATGAATGAGAAGGGTGTATGATGCGCTTTGATCAAACAGATTCGGATATGCAGTGAATGAGAAGCACATATAATGCAGGCTTGAGCTGCTTTCATTAGATTTCGATATGCAGTGTTTCAGAAGAACACGGATGGTGAATGAAGTGAATCAGAAGCATGTAAGATGTGGGTGAAAGAGTGTGAGTCGGCGAACAGGTGCAGCACTAGCAGAATCTCAAACCAGCCTGAGATTGACGCGGAAGTAGAAAGAGAGCTACTGCTTGCTAAAATTTGCTAGCTGGATTGAATTAGAGCATTCCAAGCAGAACTCCCCAGAGAAGAAGAAATATCAGCTATGCATGTGGCTTAAAGCTTTGGAAGAGGGAAGAGTCGAGGCCCAAGACTAGACCAGGTAAAGGGTGCCACATTGCTGTAGGAGCCTGGGCCACAGTGTTCCGGACAGGCCTAGATCTGGTGCAGACAGGAGCCATGTGCTCGCACCCATGTGGGAGTCAGTGGCCAGGGGCTCCTGCAAGGCCAGCGAGAAAAACAAAAACAACAATTATAGGAAATGGAGAGAAAAGGGGGGGTGGAGGGAGAGTGGAGTGAATGGGTTAGGAAGGGAGAAAAGGAGATGGCAAAGGGAAGAAAGACAAAACGGTCGCAGTTGTTCAGAGTTTCTGGAGAGACAGATGACATCAGAAGAACTGAAAAAAGAGCAGATGGCATGGCAGTAGTGGGGCTGATTGTTTTTGAGCAGAGCACCGAGACTGAAAAGGCAAGAAAGCGACACCTGTCCTGATTTCTAGGAGACGAATGCAATGAAGGTAACTCAGCCCGGCAACTCCAAGTGTGAGCCATGTCTGTCTCTGGTGAAACAAAACGCCGAGTGTTAGAAAACATCCAGACAGAACTCCACTTGAACTTCTGTTAAAATACAATTTATAGTTGATATTATTGCTAACTGTATGTACCTCTGCATTTGTCTGTGAAGTGTTAGCTCAGCTTTGAATTTTGGCTTAATTGTTTGATTTTCCTTTCCAACTTCTAGAATGTTTGCAAGTCCTCCATTTTGGTATCATCTTCACATTTCACTGGTTTACTCAAAGTGCCAGAATCTGGATCAGTGATGTGAATTAAGAGTAGCAGTCCTTGTACAGATCCCTGTGGTACTGCACTAATTATATCATGCCACTTTAAAAACTCATCCCTTATCTGTACTCTCTGTTTTCTATTCATTAACCAATCCTCTATCCCAATTAGTGCATTATCTGCCTCATGAATTTTGGGAATTACTTTAGAAGGAAACATTTCAATAATGATCAAAGAACAAATTAGTTAAGCAAGCATTATGTTTACTAAACCCATATTTGGAGTTACCTACTAACAGGGTTAAGATCTTACTGCTTAGTACTTGTCACTTTTAAGGGCCTTTGTGCGTACTTTAGAAGGGCAGGGAGTAAATAAGGCAATATTTTTTTCTCGTTTGATTTAGTTTTTTAATTAAATGATTACACATTGGTTCACAAAATCTTCTAAAAGCGTTTATTTTTTTTCTGAGGAGGAAATCCGTAATTCAGTGCAACGAATGTTGTGTTTTAAATAAAGTTATTTTGTAGAAAAGAAAAATACAGTCTAGAGGCTCAGGAACAACAAAAAACAACTATAAAAACTTTATAAACTTTACTCCCCATTCATCAGACAGGATTATTCTGTCTCAAAATAAAATACAGTTGAGAACATTCCTGGTCTACGGAGAAACAGTGTATCATACCTTGCACTGTCAGCAGTGACCTGCTCTTGGTCCAGGACAGACAGTGTATGAGCCACAGTCACTGTACAGCTGGCCAGTACGGGTTTCTGGTTGTGCGGGCACGCCAAAAACCTTCGTACATCCTATTGTTGTTTACTATGAATACAACAACAACAACAACAACAACAACAACAACAACAACAAAAATAAGAATAAAAAAATCTATAAATATGAGAAATTAAAACTCTAGTAAAACATAGTCAGCAAATAAAAGTATTGTCATAGCTGCCCTCTTGTGGAACTCGGGCACAGAAGTAGAAGAAGAATCTTGAGCAATTTCCTGGCGGTCTGCAAACGGTTTTTTACGTTTGACCCCAATTGTTCACGGAATTTTTTCCAGGGCATTGAAAGTAAAATTGTGGATATATAAAAAGAATAATCTAAAATTAATAACAACACAAAATAAAACATGAATGGCAAAGAACCATTCCATTCGAGGTAGTTCACAACATTCCTGGAAGCCAAATACCAGTAAAATGTTTTTTTTTTAATGAAGATGAAAAAACTTGCCTCGTCTGGAAAAAAAAAGCTTTCTTGGCTCTGACAAAATGTGGAATCATGAGAATCATAACAAATTTTACAGAAACGTCAGAATGCTTTACGATAGACGCGTGGTTTATGGCACCAGTCAGGCATTAGCGGATTTGATGCTCTTGGAAAATATTTTTCAGGCCATGGGTGGCTAAAGGCTCACACCGAGGTCTTGCATTGATTCATGTGTATGGAGGTTTTCCCGTTTTCATTGCAGCTACAGCTGATCTCATGGAGAGTGAGCTGAGGCGGGCCAAGCCAGCGTTGCAGTGGGAGTTTCAGAAGGCAGCTAGGAGGGATCCGCACGGCACACTCTCGCACAAACCTTGTCCCGGGACCGCAAGCAAAGGGAAATAAACCGTTTAAATAATTTGTATTGGGTGTTATGATCTGTGAAATGCACTTCAAGAGAAAAATATTTTAATGTGACTAAATATTCATTAAGGGGAACTCACCCTGGCGAACTTCTGTCGTCTGTTTGAAGGAGGGTATTGAGAAGGCCACCGCTGTTGAAAAAGACAGTCGGGGGATACAGCTAGGAGGAAAGGCCATAAAAACCGACACACCGCAAGTTCCAGCTCATCTGATTAGCGTGATTTTTGTTGACCTCGGTGTTGGCAGCTACCATGAACTAATCTTGTGTTACTAAGTGAGTAATTGAATGTGAGAGCTTATATATTTTTGTAATGAGCTGACAGCATATTTCCACTCCCGGCCCGAAAGGTTACTCTAATCAACATGGTCACGCTGTTTCTCTCAGAATGACAGTTTGTAAGAAACGAAATGACAAAACACTAAACTACGAAGGTCTTCCAGATGCCAGAGCGAGAAGTTAGCTGTTTGTGTGGAGAGACTGCTCTCTGAATCAATGTCAATCCAGAACACTTCTTGAGAAATTGAAATTAATAGTTTGTTATATTTTGTTGCTCCACATGGTTTGGATTCATACTCGAATTGTGTATATCACTTGACACTAATGTTAAACGTTAAATCAGTACTTTAAAGAAAATAGTCACATTTCAATATTGACGGTAATATAAGAAGGTTACTTTCAGGATTATAAATTCTGAAAGCTAAAAAATTCAATTAAAGGGTAGTTCACAGAGCTCCGTTTTTTAATCTGTAATTCAATCTGACTTGAAATGAGAAATATTGATTCAATACATTATTACTATTACTACTGCTACTACTAAGTGCTGTTATGATCATTATTACCTTTACTTCTACTACTGCTTTTATCATTGATATCACAAATCATTTATTGCCATGCTAGATTAAAATGTTATACTGATTTTATTTTTGTTTATGTGCACAATTCTGGCCAGTTGTATTGTTTACATGTAGAACACATCTCTATTACTATGACAATTCCTAACCACTTAGATAAGACAGAAGTAGAGTAGTTTAACATTATGTTTAACATTGTACTTCATGTTGTCTGTAGTGCTATATATATATATTAATAGTAATTGATACGTTATGTAATCCTTTTAGTTTATATAAGATGTTCTGACCTATACAAAAAAGTTTATTGTTGACAGCAGTGAATTTCTAATAATCTGGTAGCCAAATTAAGCATGGAAAATCCCTGAAGACACCACCTTCCATTACAGAGACTTGTGCAACAGATTTTAATTCTCTGCACCACATCATCTCACTATACTGTAAGGCAGACAAATTGTCAGTAACAATATATCAGTGGTATTTTTATAACTGAATACAAACTCACACACTTAAAAGATTAGAATTTAAACGCGATAAGGAAAGTATAAATACGGTTTACATTTATCAGGCCACTAGATACAAATTAAGTAATATTCTTTTTATTTCAAAGGCATTTAAACTTTAAAGATTTTTTACCCGTATGGTGCAAATCGCTGTATTTCCTGTGTAAAACACACACACTTTGTACATATTACAATCAAAGCTTGCGGTGAGTTTTCTCCAGCCCATCAATCTGAATCAATCCAAAAGTGTAGGCTACGGTCTGGCAGTGTGTTAGTCATCAGATTCAATGCATTCAATGTTTGGATTGTTCTGTTTGTATAAACCAGATTGGTTTGCACTTAACCCTGTAATATATGCTAAACAATCCTCTAGATAGTACTCTAAACCTCACCAGTTACCATACTGGCAGGTCCTATAAACTCACAGAAATTGTAAGAAATATGCCATGTCATAAATTATGACATGAAACAGAGGTTTGTCAGATAGGTACATTTTTGTTCACTTAGATTGACAGTCAGGATATTAAAAATGGCACTGAAATTTACAGACACAGGTCACCAGGTCAAGGCTTTGTAAAACCTTGAAGAGTATGAAGCCATAAAAAATGAATAAAAATAATTTAAATAAACTGCGTGGCCACAGTTCTCCTTATCCATGATTTATTGTATTCTGTGCTTTCATACAAAGAATCATAGTTGCACAGATGAAAGTTAAAAAGAAACAATAAGACAGAATCACATTTTTCACATCAAGGATAAATGAAAACCATGATTTCATATATAAAAAGCAATTTTTAATTGTTGAACAGTTCTTGGATTTTCTGTAATACATTTTCATTTGAACTGTGGAGACAAAATTCAATGGCAGTAATCAATAATATACATTTCTAACTAGTTTGTTTATTATAAAGAAATTTAACAGCAATATAAAGCCAATGGTCTTTTTCATGACAGGCAAATGCAGTGCCTGCATAATGTAAATACATTATCATAACTTCATATAGGATCTTTCACATAACAAACCAGTTCTCTGGTTTGCACAGTACACTATTATGAAGAAATAGCAGTATCCCTAGCAGTAACCCTTGAGCTGCTTTCTTGAAACCTAATAAGAGGCAGTGGGGCACTATGCAAATTAATCCATAACAAAATCAGACTGCTTTCCAAAGTTCAGACATGCCCTTAAGCTACCACTGTCAATAGTTTCATAGCAAATTTAAAATAACCCATGTATTTTACACCCTGTAGACTGTAATTAAGTTATTTCTTTATTCTCAGTGGTTATTTTCTATTGCTTTCCAATTCATAACAAGTTTGAAAATAATTGTTTCTGAGCATTTTAAGGTTGCAATTGAATACATCCATATATTTATAAACAAGGGAGACGTGGTGTTGCAATGGTTAGCTTGATTGCTTGCAGAGCTTGGTCCCTGGGTTCAATCCCAGGGTGCTGTATGTGTGGAGTTTGCATGTTCTCCCCGTGTTTGCGTGGTTTTCACTGAGTGCTCCAGTTTCCTCCCATGCTCGCATATCCCACCTTATGCCATTGCTTGGCTTTGGTCTGCATTGGATAGAAAATGGATGGATGGATTTATAAATATTCATACAATAAGTTTAAAGCTCTTGATGATAGAAAAGATCATGATAAGAAAAATATTTTAATATGATGCTCTTCATACATTCTAAAAAGAAGCAGGAAGTAAATGGAAGACATAACAGCCCTCGCTTACCACGGAACTGTACTTTACAGATATGTTTCGTGTGAAAACTTTGTGCTATGCCCAAACTGCCTAACTTCAAATATTGTTATAAAGGTGTATACTTGTCAAAGACTTTGAATATAGCAATATACAAGGAAGAGAGGATTTATATTTTCTGTAACCAACAAATCCTAAATGGTTGCTTTATAATAAAGGGGGAAGACCCATTTTCAACAATAAAAAAAGATTTGGAGACAATTTAATTAATTTCCTTTTTGTGTGGCTAGAATGAAATATAATAACCTTCATCTTTGCTCAGTCCACCAACAATTTTTGTTTGAACATAGTGGCATATAAAGTACTGTATTTGCAAAAGGCTGTTGTTAAACCAAGAAAAATTACTTGATGTGTAATTGCAATTTAATACCACACGATGGCAGAAAAGGGTAAGATCAGAACACTAATTCAATTAAGTAAAGACTGTGATTAATAGATGCTAATTTTCCTAGTCTTATATGTAGTTTAATTCCTTCAGAGAAAAAAAAATCTTAATGTGTCTTTCAGTGTTTGGCTGCCATTGATGAAAAATATTCTGCTCTTTTATTTATTCAAGATCCTTTACATATCACTATATACTTCATATGTTTACCACCCTTGTATGAATGGAGGGGTATGAGGGGTATAACAAGAGTATATACACTTTTTAAAATAAAGATTAAAAATACAATTTGAATATGGAATTTGAACACTTTTGTTTTGATAAGTCAGCCTTGCATACTTAAGCAGTGTGCACCCATTCTTCTTTGCAAACTTGCTCAAGGTCTGTCAAGTGGTTGGTGATTGTTGATGGACAGAAGTTTTCAAATTTGGCCACACAATTTCAGTTGTATTCTAATCAAGACGTAGAATGGTCCGTTATAGCAGATTCACATTCTGCTTTTTAAGTGGTATTAAACTTTGGGTCATTGTCTTGCTAAAAAGAGAAGTTGTGTCCCAGTTTTAGGTCTGTAACAAACTGAAGTAGGTCTTTCTGAGAATCTGTAAAGCCTGTGAAGTTGCTCGACCAGCAGACTGAGACCAGGCTTCTCCAAGTGGTGATAATCTCTTGACCGTACACTGCAGAGGGCATTGTGGGATGAGTCAGTCAGAGAGCCCTCAGCTCTCCACAGCAAACTGACCCCTGCAGTGTTCCTGTTGCCTGCAGGCATGCAGTGCTGTCAGTGCATCTCTCCTAAAGCCAGCACTGGTCGACATTGCCTCCACTGTGATTGGTCGCGGTATTCATTGCTAAGAGATAGACAAGGGGTTAATAAAAAAAAGATTAATTCTCAAATAACATGAATTTTTGGGAAATGCATGTTTTGGGGGTTGAGAAATGGTTAATCGAAACTAGAGAAAGTCTTACAACTGCAATGCTGCTATTCTGATTCAACAACCTATATTACAGTATTGCTTCACCATCTTCTCGTTGTTTATGAAGGAATTTTGCTCTTGGGGATCTGAGGCAAGCACGGTGCTACAAATTAAATCCAGGATGGCAAGTTGTGATAGTGTTGTCCATGCCATTGTACCAGTGGGAACACCCTCCCGATGTGGTTATATGTAACAATAACCTCTGACACCATTACACAAATTGACATTAAATTACAGTAAGTTGAACTGGTTCTCAAGAAGCTTTTCATTAATCTTTTTGCAGCACATAAACCAATATCCAGAGTTTATTTTAAACAAGTGAAAATAAGTTAAATATTAATGCCCTGTGATGGACTGGCATCCTGTCCCACTGCTTGATGGGTTAGGCCCTGGCTCCACCTGCAACCCTGTGCTGGATTAGTGGATTAGAAAAAGGATGGATAGATGAAAATGAAATGTTAAATCAACTAAACTGACTGTGTTTCTATAAAAGTATCCAAATCATTACCTATTTTATATTCAACAGCTTGTTAAGGCCTATAGAATATTAACAAAAAAAATCAGCACTTTGCATAAAAATAAAATGCAATTATGTGTTTTTGTTTTGCTATTGTTGGTACTTTATAGGTATCAAAGCTTTCAATGAAAAACAATGTCATGTACTAGACAGTATCTTAAAGGCATATGAATCCAGAACATTTTCACAGATTCAACTGATCTTTCTGTTGTTATAGCTCAGGGACATTTGTAGGTACCACAAGCATATACTGTACATGCATACAAGAAATATTTAAAACCCTCTATTTTGCTCAATCAGGGTAGGAAAATGTGCCATCCAAGAAAGAAAGCAGAGTGGAGAAGCAGGGGATTTATGTAACATCCACCCACACAACACTGTGCAGAGGGGAAAAAATAAACTTACTTATAAGCAGCTAATTTTAAACCCAATTATGTTTACTTTTCATATTATTGAGAAAAACAGCATAATATTGCAACACTTTGCTTCCTGTAAGATGACTGACTGGATGATTAGTATGCCTTGTTTTTTATTTCTAAACCACAGCTGTATTTGTATGAAAAGCTGTGCTCTGCAAGCATGACGAAAGGGTTGAGTAAGCCAGTCCATGTTGACCGCTAACTGCACAAACCTGTCTCAACACCAGGCTGTGCTCCAGGCAGCTCTGGAAAGTGACTACATTAGAACAGAGGCTGCAGTGGTTACAATCTGTGTAGTTGAGAAAATCTCTGTGTCCTGTTGTATCACTTTCAACAGAACTTTCATAATTCTGATCTACAAATCAGGGAAAAGTAGTCAACCCTGCAGAGAGCTGGTTGTCTACACAGTTAGTTCTGTAATTGTCACTCATCCTAATCGTGAACAGGTTAAAAGTAAATTTTATAAAAATAAGAATGATTGAAATAATACGTTTTTACTGTTATACTTTCATATTTTTATATTAAATTCCTTAAAAATATTTTGCAATCTATGCTGTGATTGTGTAATATACTGTACATACCTGTAGCTCAATAGTCTTGACAGCTCTTGTTTAAAATTATAAGAATGCTTCAAACTATGGATTACTGCTGTACTACTGTACTTCTTTCTCATTTATTTATAAATGACACAAATTGAATACAGTGCAAAGGTACTCTTCTAAATAATTTCAATTACCTTGGCAGTTAATATTGAAAATACACATTACGTACACATTGAAAAACATATATTGCAACACATTAACTTCCACAGCTGATCATACAATCTGATTTATTTTATTGAACTCCAGGGCTATTTTTATGTGTTCTAACAACAAATGTTATAGAATGATTTTTATATTTTATTAGTTAGTGATAAAATTGCTGATTACATATTTTCAATACAACATTTTCCCAACAGGAAAGCCAGTGTACATATGTATATACAGATGTGTAAAACATCTGTTCTATATAAAACAATCAAGTGTTTTTATATTAATGTAGCCAAAGTGTAACATATTACCTAATTGAGAGCAGCATTGTGGGTGTCTGGAGGGTTATGAACACAGAAAGACTAAGGCCTGGGACTTGTTCTATAAACGGAAACAGAGATGTTTAGGGTCACCACGATTGGCTGCTGATGTAGCAGGTGACAAATTACATTCATTGTCTTTGAACAGTTAATTTCTTGTACTGTAAAATGAAAAATAAAAATGGAAAATGAAACCAGAAAGCTAGGTTCCGAACAGCATATTTCCTCAGTTTTTCAGTGACTGTGTGGGACCCAGGGGATGGTGAAAGCTGACGGGACTAGAGAGTCGCAAATCATCGGAGGGGCCAGAGGTTGGATTCTGGTTAATGTTTAGAAAACCTATCCGCCTGAAAAAGGTATAAATTCTACATAAAGCCAGCAAAAAAGTCTGGACGTGGGAGGAGACCTATCTGGTAAGCATACACTTAAATATTTTTTTGTTACAAAGAATGTTAAAAAGTAGAAAACACACTAAATATAACAAAATAACACGGTTTCATACAAAATATTGAACAGTACTCAAGAACTCAATTTACAGCCAGTGTTCATTTTAAGAAAAGGGTTTTCAGGATTAAGCTTCAGGCGTTTGCTTTTTTTCAGATCATTGATGTGTCAAATAGGTCCCACTGTGGGACCAGGCTTGGAAAACGTGTCTTCTACATATTACAGCACTCGGCTCAGGGCTTCCTCAGCAATCCTGTGGATAATTCCCCAGTGGGAAGTGATGTGATCAATGCCAAAAGGCAAAAACAGATCTGCTCCTTTAGGCTGAAATACAGTATTTTCCAACTGTAAAAGAAACCCCATATTCTAGAGATGAATATCTATGTATCCAATTTTGCTATTTTGAGAAACTCAGCTTTTGTTGTTCCCTGCAGCCCCCATGAAAAAGCATGCTAAAATGAAATTAAATTTGCTGTTTATGTTTTTTTAACAAATTATTATGAATTTGAAAAGCCAAATCAGAAATGTCAAGTATTATTATTTATTTTTACAATTTACAAGTCAAGAAATTACATATCACACTCTGTTGCCAGATGTTTGCTTCAGTTTAGCTATGTGACTCATTCTTCACTTACAGTGATTTTAAATATCACTGTGGGCTATGGGCCAACAGAAATATAGAAAATTTCTAAAGTAATCAGTATTTATAGATAACAGACATGAGGCTAGGCTGTCAGAGCATGGAGTCTTCTCTAGTAAATGAACACGCTAGCACTGTGACACACAGTTTAGTGTCACATAATGCTGATTAAGCAAAAGCTTAGTAGGCACTAGTGAATGTGCCTCCAAGAGTCATCACACTGTTGCTTTTGTCTTAGACTTCTGTGCTATGCTATAATAATGCATAAGCACAATGCATTAAGATCAGTAATGACTTTCCAGTCTTCAGCCTCCCCCACTGTGGTACTCTCACGGTCACTGTCATAGGACTGTCACTAACTGCAATATGAAACAAAAGGTGAAATAATTTGTTAAGGTTTTTGAAATGATGTCAATGAGAATTGGACATCAAAATTAGGCTTTATTAGCTATTTAATGCTTTAATTTTTTGACACCTAATGCAAGTCTGTTTAATTTACAAAGCTGATATTTTAGACACCAGTTAATATGATATTTACATGGAACCAAGTGTTCCATCTATGGTACTGTACATGCACATAAAAAAGTGGGCTGGACTAAAGGCAAAAATTTAAGTCAACTGGACTCGAGACAGCAACACATATTATATATTTTTATACCAGTACATATATATAATGAATTTTGTACTTAAATACATTTTTAAACAAATGTCTCCTGCCCATCTATATCTTTTTATCACCGTTAACACTGACATCCCTCACCTTTTGCCTCCCTGCCCAGCTGCTCTTCTCCTGATCTGTGCCTTTTACAACTTCATCCTGGAACTGTTTTGAAAACTCTTTGGTCTTCATAGTTGAATCTTGAAATTCACTATGTGACTGAGGGACTTTGCAGAGACCTGCAGAGATATACTTATTCTGAAATCAATGGCACTACTATTATTCTGCACAGACAGAGGCAATTTGACTAATCCTGTGACTTATCAAAGTAATTCTGTTCCCTGAACTAATTTAGGTTTGGCAAAGCAAAGGGTAGAATACTTAAGCAATCAACAATTCTTTCTCATATAAATTCAAGCTCAGGATTTTAAAAATGTGTAACAGGTCCCCTTATAGTCTATGGTGTTCCCAAGTCAATAATGTTCGAGGATGTATTATTGTATTTAGTAAAAGAAGCATGTCCTGTACGTTAACCATAAGCTGCTTTTAAGGAGCAGTAATGGAAAACTTGTTCTCTTTCCAGGTGAAAATGAGGCTGTTCCTTAATGCAGGTGTGATTGCAGCACTGCTTTTGTGTGGTGTGTGGGCTGCTCCTCACCACGGCAATCCTGAGGAGCATTCCTACACCAAAGAGCACCACGACCACCTCCATCATGGGAATCAGGAAACTCACGAGCATAAGCAGTGTGAAAGGTCTTGCAACCAGCTAGCACCTGCCAACGCTGACTTCGCCTTTGCTTTGTACAAGCACTTGAAATCTCAGTCCCAAAAAGAAGCAAAAAACATCTTCTTCTCTCCCCTGAGTATATCCACAGCCCTTTCTATGTTGTCCCTGGGAGCCAAGGGTGCCACACATGATCAGATCTTTCAGGCTCTCGGCTTCAGTGAAGCCCAGGTCAATGAGACGCAAGTCAATGAGGGGTTTGAACACCTGTACCACATGCTGGGGCATAGCCAGGAGCAGCTTCAGCTGGAAGCTGGGAACGCAGTTGTCACCGATGATGAGTTTAAACCATCTCATCAGTTTCTGACTGATGCCAAACACTATTATCAGACAGAGGGTTTCACTGTAGATTTCCACAAGCCAGATGAAGCCAAGCAGACAATAAACAACTTTATTGAGAAGAAGACTCATGGCAAAATTAAGGACCTGATAAAAGATCTGGACCCGGGCACTGTAATGGTCCTTCTGAACTACATGTTTTTCAAAGGTAAGATGTCACCCGTTATTAACTCAAGAAAAAAACCCACAAGGATGAGACAGGTTCCTTTTTTTTTGTTTTTGCTTATAAAACTACTGAATTATCTCACACATAAACCTATGAGAAAAATCTATAGGAAACAATTTATGTCAATCATTTTCAAGAGTGAAACTGTCTTTACCCTATATGCTAAAGTAATGAAACTTTGCTCCATGTCTTCAACAACAACAAGCCTCAGGCCTGAATTAAATTGCACGTCACTAACCCGGAGCTTGATGGGAACATTCCATTGGGTACAAGCAAGAACCACTAGGAAAACAAAATGCCACCAACGAGTACTGGGTTTTTGATTTGTGATTGGTGGTGTAAGTTCACATTAATAAATTAATAAGAAAATGGCTAAATGATTATAAATCAGATACAAATACATGCACTACAATGTTAACTGTACAGTAAAATTAATTCTGAATTCTTGATTCAAAGATTTAAAACAGTTTTTTTTATTTTTTATCCTTAGGAAAGTGGGAAAAGCCTTTTGAAGAGAAATACACTTCTAAAGGTGATTTCCATGTCAGCAAAGATAAAACAGTGTCTGTGGACATGATGAAAAGGACCGGACGATATCTCTTTTATTACGATCAACAGAATTCTACTTCAGTGCTGATGCTGCCTTATAGAGGAAATGCTTCTATGATGGTTGTTTTACCTGATGAAGGCAAAATGGAAACAGTAGAGGAATTTATAAGTAAAGATGACATTAAAAGATGGCATGATTCACTGTTCAGAAGGTAAGATGCCAGTTGTGTATGCCTTGCAATTTATCTGAGCAAGAGCAACTGGGATGAAAGAAATACAATTTAGCATTGCTGTTCTGTGTTGTGGTTATCAGTACAGCATTTGCATCATGCGGCCATAATTCCTCTAACTGAAATCTGCTCCATGCTCATAACACATTTTCTTAAAGTATAAGAAATAACTTTGGACATAAAACTTCTGTTTCTCCCTGCTTTATTAATTACTTAAAATGCTGAAGTCAAAAACCTTAATTATTAAGTCATTAATAGTGCTTAATAATAATGTAATATTATATGAAATATTCAACCCTACAGTGATCTGCAAAATATGAACTAGGTCCATGATGGTGGGTTTACAATTGACATACAGTTACCCATCTGAATGTCCACATCAGGTTACAATGTCTGATTTATGAGTGCATCAATGCCTTCATATAATGAATGCCCATGTTAGAAGCACTGTAATTAGCATGCTGAAAAGAGAAGAAAGAAAACATAACGTTTCAGCTGTGGTGCCTTCTTTATACCCGAAGAAGGCTCCACAGCCAAAACATGTTTGCTTTCTTCTCTTTTCAGCATGAAATAAACCTATTCCTTGTTCATTTGCAGCTTACACATGCTGACGCAGCTAACCACCTGAACTACTGTAATGAGCATGTTCTTTTACAATGAAGTGAACAGAAACCAGACTGTAGTGTCATGTTGTTGCAATAATAATCCTGCTCAGTATGAGAGTAAACACAAGTTCAGACATTAGTGCTTGGCTTAGGAGCCGATGGTGAGGAGCTGCCATCTTTGGGGCTCTGACTGAAACTTAGGGGGATCCCTGAACATTCCCCAAAACTCACTGAACAAACATTCTTAATTGAGTAGAGATCCATGAGTATCATATCATACTATTTCTGATGTCTCATTCATTCCAAATAAATAACGGAAACATAGACTGTTAAAGCATTCAATATCTTTTTTGATCTCAGACTTCTAGTTCTGAAACCCTAAGCTGTTTCGGTACTAGCAAAACCAGTCATGTTCATAAACTGTCACACTAATAACATTCTTAATCAAATTATGTTTATGTACATTAACTGTGTTTACTTATATTTTATTAAATAAGTTTAAAGCCTGTGTATTAACTTGCACAGAGATTTTGTTTTCTCCTGCTGTATGAGATTTTCAAGTGAACATAAATGAATACTTTCTCTTGATTTATTTACAGTTCTCTGGATGTTGAAATGCCCAAATATTCTGTTTCTGCATCCTATTCCCTGAAAGAGATACTGATAGAGATGGGAATCGTTAACGTGTTTGGTCAACATGCAGATCTGTCTGGAATTTCAGAGGTTCCACTAAAGGTGTCAAAGGTACGTTGGCATAGAGTGCCTTTTTGTTTTGCTCATGAGGAGTTAGTTACTTCACAATGCAATAGAAAGGAATAGATTTGTCTTAAGTCATCCTTTTCACTCTACTCTACTTTGCACTGTTTATTCTTTTTGCAGGTGGCTCACAGAGCTGTGCTGAGTGTGGACGAGAGGGGCACAGAGGCTGCAGCAGCCACGGGCATTGATGTGATGCCCATGTCCATGCCTTTCTCAATGGTTATAAACCGCCCCTTCATCCTGCTCATCCTAGAGGAGACCACCGAGAGCATCCTCTTCATGGGCAAGATAACAGACCCTACAGCGCAGTGAAGGCACCATGCAAACACCGCCATCTGGGCACTTACTGTTAATCTTTACTGTTATAGTTATGCTTGCATGGAAAAGTAACCTTTTACATTGTACTGTACATTGAAAAAACAGTAAAACAAAATATTACATGAATTAAAGTCACAAGATATGTCAAGTGTCAATTTTATTTCCTAAGACTGTTCTTAGTTTTGTAACATGAAACAGTAACCTGAGTTTTTTTATTTAATGGAAATGGTGCTACACAGATAGCAATTTCCTATTTGTGTCTTAGAAATATTACAAATCTCATGTTTGTCACAAGAGAATGGCTTAACTACACTCACTCCTTTCTGTCACAATAGCAGCATGTGCCCTGTTGGAGAATTATTGGTTGAAATAAATATGAAATGATAACTAATCAAAATGTGGGCTTATCAAACTCAGTCACATAATAGAAGGTACTGCAGTGTTTATTTATATTTCATCATGTTTATCCCCATGAAATCTTAAGGCTATTTTAAAGAAGGGAAATAAAAACAGGTTTTAGAAATGTTGGGATAAAAAAAGAAATCATATCAGAAAATATTAAGCTTATATTCATGCTATTATTTTTGAACAACCATGAAATATATCTGCAGGTTATTGAAAAAGGTTTTCAATTTCACATCCGTATTGGGCACATTTTCTCAATATCTGTAGAAAACAGACTGTTTTAAAGAAATTTATAACTATATTTGTTTTGCCTTTGAATATAAATCTTTTGATGAAGCTGTTGGAATAGTAAGAATAATGACAATTGCTCTAGGCAGGAGCCCGACAATAGTAATTTTCTGTCACCATCAAGTAATATTGACCTTGTTATTAATTTCAAAGTTTGAGCATACTTTACTTATAACTTATAATGTCTTGGTTGCTCTGATGTGCACGAAGACAAAGGCTGTATATGGAGATCACAAAGGGAAGCTGGAACAGGGGTCCAGTCAAAACAGGTAACTGGTCACAAAGGTAAAACTAACACACCTGAGCTTCACTTTCAGGTGTATTCATTTTGACCAGATGACTGCAGTTTTACATTCAGCAGTGCTTTTATTTACATGCAGAAAGTAAAAATTATACTAATAAGTGACTCCATTGATGTGAGGACTTAATCCAAATCCTTTTTTTACTTGAATTGTTGAGCATACATAAGATTTCATATGCAGTGTCAGTGTCATGTTGATATTTTATGTACTATATTTACATTTCATTTTAAATTTGCAATACTGATTTCTTATTGAATGTTTATGGTATTCAACAAAGTGTTGCAACATGCTGTAGTTGTGCATTGCGAGCCTTTCTGACAGTGCAGATGAACAAATCTGGAGACTGGAGGGGTGAATGACCCACTTGGACCTTAACAACGCTGGCTGGAGCAGGTTTGCTGATGCCCAGAGGGTTCCAGGTCAGTTGGGCTCAATGTGTGTAATCCTGCGCAAGTTACTGAAGCTCCTTGAACTCTGTCCTCCAGATGTGACAGGAAAGCAGAATCAAGGGAAATAAGGGACAAGGGACTTTGCAGTAGCAGCAGCTGCTGATGCTGTTTCCCCTGCTAGCATCCGTAACAGAGACATGGCGGTGTACTGAGACGGTTCCACAATTGCCCACATAATAAGCAGCTTTAGAGCTGAAAGTTTGTTTGTGTTGCAGTCCTGTATTTTTCCATTAATAACAACAAAAACAACAACAACAAAAACAACAACAGTTATAATAATGAGAAAATAAATGATCAATAATAACACAACTATATGTTGTCACCTTATAGTTGCAAAGAAACTATTATTATGAACTTCTAAAAGCACAGATACATCATGGTTCATGGTCCAGGTAAGATTCAATACAAAATATATTTTAATATTTATGGAACTGGAACAACCGATTTATAATATCGGTTATACATTTTATTTATAAAAATATTTTTTTAGGAGACTCAGGTCCTTTGGTGTGTGTGGAACACTGCTACACATTTTTTATGAATCAGTGGTGGCAGCGGCCATCTTCTACGCTGTGGTGTGCTGGGGCAGCAGCATCATGACAAAAGATGCAAATAGGCTTAATAAACTCATCAAGAAGGCTGGCTCTGTGCTGGGGATGAGCCTTGACCCCATGGAGGTGGTGGCTGAGAGGAGAATGCTGACCAAGCTCACAGCCATCATGAACAACACCTCTCATCCGCTTCAAGGGACTGTTACTGGGCAGCGGAGCACATTTAGCAATAGACTGCTCCAGCTACGGTGTTCAAGGGAACGTTTCTGCAGGTCTTTCCTCCCGGCGGCTGTCAGGGTGTATAACGATGCCCTTGGCTAGGACTTTTAGCCCTTCATTTGCTCCTCTATGGACAGCATGTTTACTCCATTGTACTTTTTGGACAATGAGTCTGTATAAACCTATGCACATTTTGCACATATTTTATTGTTTTTACAGTGACTATGATCAGCACATTTTGCACACACCTATGTATTTATTTTTATTTATCTTGTCTGTCTTTTGTTTTATAACTATTCTGATGTCTGTTTTGCTTGTCTTGGGCTGGACTGCTGTAACACATCAATTTCCCTATGGGATTAATAAAGTATTATCTCTCTATAATGTGTGAAAAACGAAAGGATTACACTAACAGGAAGTACGTACTGGAAACCACTGAAGTAACATGTTAAAGAAAAGCTGTTCATATATAAAAAAAAAGTTGCAATCACTGTGATAGTTTTATTTGAAAATACTGCTCTTTAGTTTATAAAACATGCTATAAAGACCCTACTCTAAAAAAAGTTTTTGGATTCTTGATTTAAGTGGTTTGGAAGATTTCTAGAAAGAACATAAGTTTAAACAACTGTTTTCCTGTAATAACTAACAGGTAAACAACTTTGGACCCAGTTAACTGTATTGCCGAAGATGGTCTGTTTAAATTGTGCCCTGGTGTCACAGCACATTTTCAGTGAGTTGAGTAAACAGAAACACTTTTTCAAGGAATTCCCTGCGTGATCTTTCAACAAAATCAATCATCCTTGCAATTTCAAGAGGTTATCAATAAGACAACAAAAGCAGCTTTTCTTTCAACCTTTGATCCGATATGATGAAATAGCAGTAGAAAAACAGTAAAACAGTTCCTAAACGAATTTTCTAGTAAGAATGAATTTTCTAACACTCCTTGTTTTATAGCAAATCAAATGCCAGGGATACTAACATATAATTACAATTTATCAATAAGTTTTATTTACAAAATTGCCAAATATTAATTCAAAATAGTAATACTGTCAATATTAATACATATTGTTAATTGTTAGTTTCCCTGAAACAAAATACGTTAAGGAAATAATGTCACGCTTTTTGCCCAGAAGACGAGTGCACCTTCTGAGCAGCATACAGTATCAGAGCTCTGTGTGGACAGACTCAGTGGGACATCAGTGGGACATGGCAGACTGCCCTTGTCATCCCATGACCTGTTTTATTCAATTGATTATGTGGTTTCAGGCTGCGTGTTAAAGTTCAAAATAACCAAGGTCACTGATAACTCTGATTGTTTTTAAAAGGGTGTATCTTATCCATATTGATTTTACTTGATTGCACAACTGAAAAGCAAACATGCCACTTTGAGAGTATTTACCTGCAAGAATCAAAGAAAAGAAGGGATGGAATGTTTTATATAGATATAGTTATGCATGTTATTACAGCTCTGACAGTAAACAATACTGTAATAATGAGTTTATTATTTTTTTAAGTTGGTATATCTATCTTCATTTCTCTTTTTGCACTTACAAATCATTTGTTGATTTTTTAAAGATTTTTTAAAAATACATCTATGTTCAGCTGACTATAAAAGAGTACAGTATATAAACATGCACACCTACTGTACATCAGAGCCAATTTTCCCAGAAACCAATTAACTTACCAGTATGGCTTTGGACTGTGGGAGAACACCACATCACCATGAGGAAACCCACATGACCACAGGGAGAACACACAAACTCCACACAGACAGCACTCCAGGTCTGGAATTGCTAACCACTGCGTCACTATGCCACCCCAGCATAGTAATAATGTGATTATCTTTATCATGGTGCACAAATTGTGTAACTATGCTCCACAATTTTTATAAAGTGGACCTTTGTCAACTTCTGTATTTTAATAACAGTTAAATTATATTTTAATGAACAAATCATGTAACCTCATATTCACATTTGTATTGATAATATTTTACCATTTTATCCACAAGACACTAGGTATTTCAAGAGCTCAGAAACCTGGGCTGGAAAACTGAAAGCTGGAACATTCTGGACACATTAAACTCACTTGCCCTTCATGAAGGCCATTCTGCAAACTAGAGGAGCACACATGGACTCTGGAGGCTGATGAGAAAAACACAAACATCAATAATGAATGAAAATTTAAACATTTGATAAGTTGAACTATTCGTTTTTCTCTTTCTTATTGATTACCTTATGAAGTAGAATAAATATTAATTTTGATGCTCTATTTAGTTCAGATGTCTCTTCTAATTTTATGTCTAATTCACAGAGTGCAGGACAGTATTTCTGCCACTCACTGAATGTCTATATTAAGATTGTAGGGCTTTCACATCATTTTTCAAATTTATTTTGGATATTGTATTTATAGAAACCATAATAGTTTATTTGATTTTGTCCTGTTTCAAGACCACTGAAATAGGCTAGCCCATTGGCAGCTCTTCTTCAACAGTGTTTTCTGTCCCAAAGAAAAAACTGAGTGTCATTGACATATAAATTAAGTCAAATGCCATGTTAATGGAGCATTTGAACTAAGGATAACATGTATATAGTAAAGAAAAGACAGTCCATATATAACTCCTCAGCACATCAGTTCACTCAGCTGTTGTGGCAGAAATACAACAACCAAGTGATACAAATTGTGTCCTGTGGCAGAAAACAGTGTCAATACTGCCAATCGAATCTTTGAGGAATTTAAAAAGGAAACAATGATTAACAGTGTTAAAGGCAGCATTCAGAAGGAGCAACCAAGAATCAAGGAGCTGGAATCCACAGCCAGTGACAAATCATTCATAGCCCCACATAAAGCTGTTTCTGAGCTGTGCTTTGAATGAACTACAGATTAAACTGATTCATATAATTAATTTCTTGCTAGATGTCTTTGTAACTGAGTCAC